CATTCGTCATTTATTTAAATGGAATAGTCCTAAAAAACGGCGGGTTCGTCGTTTAAAGAGTGTAGTGGTAAGAGTCGATAATAAGAAACAAAGAGTGTTTCCGGATTGGATGGTCCGTGTCGGAGGAGCAGCTCAAAAGAGCAGAAAAAAGAAGAAGAGAAAAGCCCCTCCCAAGAAGAAAAAAGCCCCTCCCAAGAAAACAGCGAAAAGGCGAAAATCTGCTCCTCAAACTCTAGCTCAACGTAAAGCCATGCCCGAAAGTTTAAAAAACGAAATCAATCAGTATTTTAAGGAACAAAGACAAAAGACCATAGGAGAATTGCTCAAGAAACAAGCAGAACTGAGAATGGATCGTGCTATGGGACCCATAGGCAGTCAAAGAGCCAGCGATTTAGAAGTGTTTCCTCGAGTGAATGTGGGCATTCCCTCCTCCTCCTCTTCCCCTGGAATTAAAGTTCCCATTCATGTCCCTAAAATCACACGTTTTCAACCCTTGACGGCCTCCACCCCTCAACTACCTAAAGGCCTGAGATATAAATGTCGATATTGTGGAAAAATTTATGTCAGGGAGAAAGCGAGAGATAAACACGAGAGCGACAAACACGGAGGATATGCCCCTCCTTAGAGAGAGACACTATAAAAGGGAGTGACATGAGAGACTTCTCTTCATTGTTTTCAAAGATGGCCAAGAAGAAAAAGGGATGTTGTACGCGATTAAGAGCGCATGCCCCTCTTTTAAGAGTGTTATCAGACCCTCACTATTCCTCGTCTTTAAAAACGGGGATTTTAAAACATTGTTCTGGAGATTGTATTCTGAAAATTTGTGAGATCGTCTACAACCTATTAAAAGGGGTGTTACCTCTCAATTCGGCTCAGAAACGAAAACTAGCTCCAAAGAAACACATCTTAAGGAGACTGGTCCGACCCCAATCCATACAGAAACGACGAGCTTTATTAGTACAACAAAAAGGAGGAGGTATTTTACCCCTTTTAATCTCAGCAGCACCTTTACTGTTGGATGCCGGACATTCTGTCTATAAAGCCATTAAAAAGAAGAGGAACAACAAGATACAAAAATGAGTCGTAAAATGGTGTTAGTACCTGAAGTTCTGTTGAATGAACTCAAAGGTAAACTCCCCAAACCTCCGGAATTTCAATCTACTCTGAGTATAGGTCAAGAATTGGACCAGATTACCAGACGTGAAGATTTAACTCCAGAAGAAAAAGTGGCTTTATACGGTCAAGAACTTCATCGGTATAGGAATTATTTACAACAAGCGAGAGAGCCAACGACTACCAAAAAAACCCCTGCACCCTTAGCCCCAGCAGCACCAGCAGCCCCAGCCCCCGCAGCAGCAGCAGCAGCTCCAGCAGTAGCAGCAGCACCACTAGCAGCCTCAGATCCCGAGATCGATCAACAAATCATTCAAAGTGTGAATAAACCCATGCAAAGAAAAGCTGAATTATTATTAAATCATTTAAAGAAAACCAACGTCTTGACTTGGGATAAAGACGGAGAAATCAGTTATCGAGGTCAAAAAGTGCCCGATTCTAACATTGTGGATATAATGGCCGAAAACATGAGAACCAGATCCTTGAAAAATCGTCCGGTGCCTAAAGGATTAGATGAATTTGCTCAAGCTTTAAAAGAGACCCGTACTCCCATGACTTACTTGCAAAATCGAGACCTTATAAAAGCCATGCAGAAACCAGGAAAAATCAGTACTCCTAAAGGGGCTTTGAGTGACGACGACGACGAAGAGGAAGAGAGCGGATTTCAGGATGCTTCCTCTTCTTTTTTGACCCCTATTAGTCGACCTGTAGAGGCAAGATCAAGGGTGTTAAAAAAATTCACACCTAAATATAGTCCCTATCGAGCCCAAAAGCAATTAAAAGCCCAAGAAGAAGAAGCCAATAAGAAGAAATTAGAACAAATCGAGGAAAATTGGCTTCATTTGCCTAAGAAATGAAGAAGAAGAAGAAGAAGGGAGTAGAAGACATTTTAACAGAGATTTATTACGATCCTAAGAGAGGGTATGGAGGCATACAGACTTTGTATCGTCAGGTCAAAAGTCTGGGACATAAGATTTCTTTAAACACCATACGAGAATGGTTAAAAGAGCAAGATACCTATACCTTACATAAACCCATTCACCGAAAATTCCGGAGACAACAGACCAGAGTGACGGATATAGACGAACAATGGCAATTAGATTTAGCGGATGTGTCCAGTTTAAAGAAACATAATGACGGTTATACCTTTTTATTGTGTGCCATTGACGTCTTATCTAAATATGCATGGGTGGTGCCTTTAAAACAGAAAACGGGGAAAGAAATGATTCGAGGATTACAAGAGATTTTCCGACAAGACGGTCGACGTCCCGTCCGCATTCAATCGGATCAAGGCAAAGAATTTACCAATCGAGAATTCTTACAGGCGTTTAAATCCATTCATTTCTTTACCACTCGCAATACGGACACCAAAGCCAGTATCGTGGAACGATTTCAGAGAACCCTCAAAGCACGCATGTGGCGATATTTCACTCGGAATAAAACCAGACGGTATTTAGAGATCTTACCGGATTTAGTGTATGCTTACAATCATACCTATCATCGCAGTATCCAAAGAACCCCAGCTCAAGTGAAGCCCTCGAATGTGTTAAAAGTCTGGAAAACTTTATATGGGGAAGAATCATCACCTAAACCAAAACCCCCCAAGTTTAAAACAGGAGATAAAGTGCGCATCAGTAAAGCTAAACGCACTTTTGAAAAAGGATATTTACCGAACTGGACCACGGAAATATTTACCATTGCTCGACGAGTCCCCGGTCGGTATCCTTACGTGTATCGAGTACAAGATTATAACCAGGAGGAATTAGAAGGGACTTTTTACGAGAAAGAATTACAACAGATCATTAAAAAAGACGACGTGTACGAAGTGGAGGAAATCTTGGGGTATAAAAAGCGACGAGTCGGGAAGAAAATCATTCAAGAAGTCAAAGTCCGGTGGAAAGGATATCCCCCTAGTTTCGATTCATGGATTCCCCAAACGGATCTCATCAAATAACACCTCATTGGAAATGTTGTGGAGAGAATATTCCTCGAGAAGAAATTGTGTATTTTGCACAATTATTCATTTGTATTTCCCTCATCATCACCAGTGTGGTCATGTTAGCTTTACACGATTCTAATCGAGAATATTGGATGGTCTGTGTGAGTTCTTCGGTCGGTTACATCATGCCTAGTCCTACCATGATACATCATACCCCTAGGGTCAAGAAGACCAATTCACCCAGTTAATCCCGGAATCTAAAAATAGATACACCCCTCTATATAAAAAGGAGACACCATAACCCTAAGAGGATCATTTCTGATCTGAGTGAGGGACAGAGCACACATCATGGATTTTTTAAGCTCAGAGTATCGTTGGAAAATAGTAGAACCTGAAGGGACTAGTCACAAAGGAGAATGGATGAAAAACAAAGAGACATGTATTCAAGATTTCTTTGATAAGAATCCAGGACAAACAGGTCTCAATGAAATCTACCTGTATAAGAGATTCAAGTTACCGCACCGCAAAAGAAGCAAACACATGGTCTTATTAGGACCCAGATCACCTAAATATGGAGAATTTAAATGGAAAGTCAATTACGTCTTGGCTCACCGAACACAGGGACCCGAGAAGACTTGGATTCATGGGAAATGGATGAAAAAAGCTGGAGATTGTATGAAAGACTATTTGGAAGAAGTGGTCGTAAAAGGATACGATATCATGGACTGTGCTTGTGAAACAGACTATTTGTACATGAGGAGACCTTTTCCCATACAAAAAGAACTGAACAGAAGTTTTGAATGTTTGTTATTATGATGTTCTTGTTCTTGTTGTTGTTGTTGTTATGAATAAAAAAATAAAAAGAAAAAACCAAAAAAATTCTAGTGTTGTTAGTTATTTTTTTCCCCTATATACACACATACAACTAAACGCTCTATATACACACAACACACAACAGAGCGCTCTATATACACTAGCTTTGTCATGATGACGTCACAATCACGGATTTGAATCGCTGCCAAGTATTTACCTGTGTAGTCAGCATAAAAAACGTAGGTCTATCGTATTGATGCACACGCCCCCTAATTTTTTGCACACGGTCCTTACAGGTATAAAAAGGTAGGTCAAAGGTGCACACGGCTCACAGCAGGTATATAAAGCGGAGCTGGGAGTACCCTGCACTCATTATTTAGCCATCATGTCTTTTGTGTGGAGAATTATCTATTGGATTGATGTAGAAAAAACAATATGCTATCACTGCAATGAGAAGACGAAAGAGATACATAAATACGTCGGCTACAACGATGCGGGAGAAGTTGTTGATTGGTACTGGGGATGTAGTAAATGTAGAGAACCTATGCCACACTGGATGGTAGATGACCCCCCTTCCATGGAGACTTGTGGTTGTAGCTGGTGCCTGAAATATTTCATCTGGAAGAAAGGAATTGAGAACATACCGCCTCCCCGATGGGTGAAAATGACCAGGAACAGACCTTTGAAAGAATGTATGATGTGCTACCAGGAAAAGACTCGAGGAAAATGGAAATGCGGACAATGCCGGCAATATCCGTGTTGTGAAAAGTGTGTGAAGAAACTCTTTGAGACTTCCTACAAGAAATGCCCCTTATGCCGATATGAAGGACAATAAAATCATTTTTTGTATTTTTTACTTGAATAAAAAATTTGTGTTTAAAAATTCTTTGTTGTTTTGTTGTTTGTTTTAAAAATAAAATATAATTTAAAAAATAAAAATTTAAAAAATAAAATAAAAATAGATGAAAGGTTTTATCAAGAGGTATATAACAAACCCTCTCTCATTCTGAAAAAGGACACTGAACAAGTCAGACGTGTTTTTTGTTTCAAAGATGCAGTATCGTTGGTATTGTGAGAGTCCCATTAGTCAGTGTATGTACATGCAAGGAGGGTGGATGAAAACTAAAATAGGAGCCATCATGGATTTCTTTGAAAATCATCCAGGCTATTACCTGGAGAATGTGTGGTTGGAAAAAAGAATGAAAATTCCCTATCCTCTAACAGGATCTAGAGTGAGGGTGAAAATCAACCAACATTATCAGCAATTCAAATGGGTTACTTGTACTCAAAGGAATCGACTGACACCCATCAACACCATTCAGAATGAAAGTTCATGGTACTCGGACATTGGAGATTGTCTGAAATATTATTTCAAGATGGAGAAAAAAGGACTGATGTTTCCACCTCATTATTGTCCTACAGAGTACTTGTATTGTCGCATCCCCTTTTCCCAGATTAAAGACTCGGTGGAAAAGAAAGGACATTTGTTGACTCGAGTGATTGAGGACCGATCATCAGAAGAAGAAGAAGAAGAAATAGATGTGTAAATTTTTTGAATAAATGTTTTGAATTTTTTTTTAAAAAAGTGTTGTTATAAATACAAAGGTCTTAAGGTCTAGAGTCTCAGTCTTAGATTGAACATGGCCGAGAGCAGTGGGTTTTACATGACTTTACCCAGTGATGGGTCTATGGCCTCTTTTTCTAGCAATACGACTGCTCAATTTAAAACCTTATTACCACAATCCCTAGATTTAACCGACGGAGAATGGGAAGTGGCTTTAACAGAAATGATGTATCCCAATTCATTGAAAAACATTACAGAAAAGGAGGCTTATTTTGACATCCTGGTTCCTCAGTCTTATGCTCGCCATATCAAAAACCCCAATGTTTATGGCAGATTTAAAATGAAAACCTTAGACCCAATGCCATTACGTCAATGTCCTGTACTGCTCGATTGGGCCCATACTAAACGGCCTGCACTCGTTGAACTAGATAGCAAGATGGAAATTAGACGAATTCACTTCAGACCCGGGCCTTACACTCACCCCAAGGCTTTAACAGAGGAAATAAGTCTAGGACTACAGAGATCATTGAAAAAAATATGGAAAACCCTTGGTGATGGAAATGAAGAAAAATCTATGAAATTAGTATATTACGAGACCTATGATCGAGTGATGTATGAAATCAATGAAAAAATGCTTACTCCCTTATGCATTCGTTTCCCCACATCCCTAGCTTATAAGCTAGGCATGGACAGTCAGAAAGTCATTCTTCAGAACGATACAGAAAACATGACCAAATGGATCAACATTAGTTACTTGGGAAACAGTACTGTGGATTTATATGAAAATCTGAAATCCATGTATGTCTATTGTGACTTGATTCAACCCCAGACGGTAGGCTCCAATGCCTTGAAACTCTTAAGAGTGGTGCCTTGTACATTTCATTTGGAGGATTCAAAACAAGCCAAATGGGAACCCATTCGAGCGGAATATTTGAAACTAAGTAAAAAACATTTCGATACCATTGAGATTCACATCATGACTCCTTTAGGGACTCCCATGCCCTTTGTAAGTGGTAAATCAGTGGTGAAACTTCATTTCAGAAAAGTCTACTGAGATGAATGTACCGTTATTGTGTTCCATCTTATCGTGGTGGCTTGTCTGGTCTGCTGTCTGTATTGTATTCAGCCGTAAAAAAGGGTATAAAAGGAAGTCCCCCGAGGATATAAAGGTCAGTTGAACAAGCGACATGAACCATGCAGTATCATCCCGGATTACTGAGACAAAGAGGACACAGTTGGACTTATCATAAAGGTTTATTACGTCAAAAAGGCGGAGCAGTAGGTTCTATCATCTCTGGATTGGTGGGAGCCCTTCCCTTGGATAATTCGGGAACTCCTGCTTACAGGATTTTCAAATTTAGGCTTTTAACTCACATGAAACCTCAAAAAGGAGGAAATTTTTTAAACTTCCTCTCGGCAGCAGTCCCCAACATACCCCTACCGGGCATAGGCTCAGGTTTGACTCTCAAAGAACGCGGCCAAGTTAGCCATGGGGCTACAAAAAGGTCGAGGATTTGTCAGAGATCTACTCCAACATGGGAAACAACAAGCCCTCATGGCCGGAGTGAAGATAGGCAGGGATGTGGTGGGAAAAAGAAAAAACATCAGAAATGCTCTTTTAACCCACGGACTCAATGCGGCCAAAAATACAGGTCTATTTGCTTTCAATCGAGGAGTCTCTTTACCATTTAGAAAGAAAGAAGAAGAACAAAAAGGTCGAGGAAGAAGAAGAAGAAGAAAGTCAAAGATCCTGTTAGCCCGAGGGGGTCCAAGGAAAAAGGAATTTTAGATGTGTTTGAATACATTGTGATAAAAACATTTTCCAACTAATATTGCTTTAGAAGACAAGCATATCATTTAGATGGCCGAGAGAGAAGATAGACGAGCAGAACAGAAGGATGTAGTGGGAAAAAGAAAAAAACATCCAGAAATGCTCAATTGTTTTAATGGGAAGAATATAGGACCCCAAAATACTTTAATTCTGACACCGCTCCCATTTTTGAAATCAAAGGACAAGGAGATCACTATCCCTTGTTCAGAAAAAGAAGACGATGGAAGTAAAAAACTGGGGCAAACACAGTTGAATAATAAAGTTCCATGTAAAACCCAAAATAATGACCCCGGCCAGAATCCTTACAAAGCTTATCTGGAGAAATTATTGTCTTACCGACCCAGAACTTTTAAAGACACAGAAGGGCCTGTAGGAAAAAATACAAAAATTCTAAAATAAAACAAAGATGTGTGACCATTAACCAACCCATCCTCACAGCGTTA